TGACACTTAGAGCATCTCCAAGAGACCTTTTAAACATTAGACGCTCTTTATTTTAAAGAGTGAACTTTTAAAATTATGTTACAAAAAACTCTTTAACTTAACATATTAATTTAGAAAGTGGGTTTGACTCTCCAAGTTTGAAGAGTCAAACCTACTTTTTAATTTGGAGAGCCAAAATCACTCTCTATAATTAAATGTATTCACAGTATTTCATTTTTCAATGTAGTAAAATAATAAAATAATTTAAAGAAAAGTTAGTTAAAATAAANTGTAGAAAAACAATAAAATAGTCGAAAGAAAAACTAATTAAAATAAAAGATAAATAAAAATAATAAATATTAGTTAGGAGTAGTAAAATTAAGTGTTAAATATAAAGAGCTTTTGATATTATCCAAATGATAGAATATGCTTTTTAAAAATAGATAATCTCTTGGAGATGCTCCAGAATATTGTCCAAACCCGATTAACCCTTAGTCATCTTTGACCTTCTTCATGTAATCACCTTAGCCCTCTTGGACTGCATGCTACACACAATAGCTCCCGACCCTTCCTATCGTTTATCTCCTATGGACCTTGAACTCGTTCTTCAGCTTCGGAATTCCAAGCGTCTCTTTCCAAAATTCTAGCAACTTTGAAGGCTAATTGGTGAAGGTAAGTTTGGTCTTTGATCAAAGATATCTTATGTTTTGATCTATGGTTAAATGTAGAATATTTATAACTTGATCAACAAATCTAAGTTTGGATGAATCTATAAATCAAATAATATGGTGGTTGAGTCTTGAAATTAATGAAAGTTTTTCAGATCTTCAAATGAATGTTCTCTATGGAATAATTATGATTCAACGCACTTTGGGACGTTCATGAGGTTAGATATATATAGGAGGAAGTGTTTTGGATGAAAAGGTAATCAAAATCAAGAGTTTAAAACAAAACAGGTAACCTAGTTCGTGACCTGCCTCTTGAGCGCTAGGCGGGTGATAGAGGTCCTGATTTTGCCGCTTGAGCGCTTGCTGGACGGTAGACTATTGAAAAGCAACCATCTAATATTCACTTCTTAAAGTCCGAATCTTGATCTTCCTTTCGGATTTTTTTGACTTTTTTTTGGACTCTATCCCAAAATATTTTTACAATAACTTGGACTTTACTAAACATATTTTGACTTTAATTACAACCCGATTAATTCCTAATACAATTCAACTAAAATACGATTCTGACTTAGGAAATTACTAATTATAATTTAGATTTAACAATTTTAAAATATTAGGTGTATCTTGAAACTTGATGATTTTTGTTACACCATATATAATTTTTCTGTAAAATTTTAATGCACATATAATTTTCAATATCTTATAAATTTTCAATATCTTTTATGTGTATGTTATTTTTTATACAGAAATTCTACATTTAATAAGTTAAAATGATTATAACTTACAGTCTATATTAAATTATTAATTTACATTTAAGTCAATTTACTGCATATGTAAATTCTTTGAAATTATAACTTACACTGTGTGTTATTGCTGTTACAATGTGTATTTTTGAAATTATAACATATACCCATGCACTACCACCGATGTCGTTGCCGCCACCATTACCGTATCTAAACCATTCGGCAGCATTACCAACTTTTTACTCTGCATTGTTGGATTTACATACCCAAAATTGGAATTGTGCTAAAAACTTATCCACCGAAATAGAAATGGCATCTAAAATTGATGATTTCACAACGACAAGGAGGAAGTGGTTGGGTTTGAAGAAAAATTGGTTTAGCAAGACGGATATGAAGGATGTGAAACTAGCCATTGCTGAATACATTTTTTTTTTTTCCATCTGAAAATTCGATTAGGCATATTGTACACTTCGCGTGGGCCGCGCACCTAGATGTTCAGATCAAAGAACAATGAGAATCACCATTTCGAAATTATAGATTTATAATCATAAATTATAGATCGAGGAAGATAATAATCGAAGATTGTTGATCTAAGAATTTCTAGCAAGTTGGGCATGGATAGAGTGCTTATGGGTGGCGATGGGGATGAGAGTTGTTTGATGTGGTGGATGACTGTGGTTCAGTAATAGATTTTGCACGGTGGAAGGGATTTGATTTTCATTTCATAATACACTAAGGGTGTATTTGATAACCTAGAAAATTAGGTGAAAAAAGAATGTTTTCCAACTTCATCCAATTAATGGTGTTTGATTGCAAAAGTTTACTTGACTTTTGTTTTTCCTACATTTTCTAAGTACAACCATTTTATGCACATTTTCTTGGATTTGTTTTCCCACCTAATAGGTGGGA